GCAAGATCCGTCATGAATTAGAACTCAAAGCGGCTTAGCGCATAAAGGTATTGTTAATTAATGATATGTAATGTATTTAGACAATAAAACACAAAAAATTCTGTATACTCGAAACAGTAGGTGAAAATATACTTTCACGTAATACATCATTGAATTGTCAATCAATTTGTTATACCTGTATAGTGCTGACTCGGGGAGGGGCGGATAACCAAATGCATGAAATCAGGTAGAGAAAAATAAGTGTAGATAGTCCTTAAATTTAAAAAAATAATTATTTATCATAATTTTATATTTTGTACAATTAAGTGTGAAAATATCAAGTTTTAAAAATTTCACACAAAGACTTTTTGGGCATGCCCCCCCCCCTTTAAAATGATGTCTCGTATTTTTTCCGTTTCAGTTTTGCAATATTTTCAAAATATAAACGTTTAATTATATTTTATGCATGAATGTGTAACAGGGAATGCACAACATAACAAATGTTGTTTGGTGAGGAATCAACTTCTCTGATGACAGAGGAGTAAGGGATGACCTTCTTGTTGCCATGGCAACAAGATTTCTAGTTATTCTTTTTTCCTATTTGTTCTCCAGTACTTTTTTGTCCGCGAGTGTTCTCGGAAACTAAGTTTTCGCGCACATGCATGCACGTGTAGGTGCGTGAAATGACTGATATACTTAATATAGCTGTAACTTTTATATTTTTTGATGAAATGCTTTGAAACTCGTAATGTAAAGATATACATGTGTACGAATAGTGTAAACAAGATGACATGGCCAAATAAGTATGAATTCATACACATGCGCTTTGCTTTGATTGGCTGAAACAAAAATCTCAATATCTTCTTTTTTTTGACAAAATACTTTGAAATTTAAGATATAGGTATATATTATAAGGTTCTACAATATGATTTATATAGAAGTTCTTGAAAACGCGCGCAAGCACGTGTGCTGCAATTTGATTGGCTGAAACTTTTAATGGCCATAACGTCCACAGTTTTCAACATAACAGGATGAAATTTAGAATATTGTTGGGCATAATAAGTTTGTACATAATGGCACTATCAAAATTGAAAGTAAGGACATGCATGCACGTGAACTAAACTCCGATTGGCTAATACTTTATAGGCTGTATACTCATATGATTGTATCTCTCATAGTTGTCATTGAAAATCTGAGATTTCACACTTAGATATTTATTGTGGGTCTCTTTACGAGGAAGACATGAAAAATATCTAGAAAACTTGGGCAAGTACGTGCGCTGAAATCTGATTGGCTAATACTAAAAGGACTATGCTGGCGTTATTTTTTGATAAAATACTTTTGAAAATAAAATGTAGGTTTATTAAACAAAAGATTTGCCTAATTTAATGAAGCTTGTAGTGAATGGGGCCCACAGTGGACTTGGGGAGCGTCTGGGGAACATCTGTAATGGTCCCTGTTACAATTAGAACTAGTTTTATTCTTGATTGCACATTTTTTTATTAGATCGCCTGAGTCACTCAAGTGACCTATTGCCATACGTTTTATCCGACGTGTGCTGGTCGTTAACTTTTGATTATTTTCAGCTTCTTCACTTGAACCCTGAACCCTGAATGCAATCTTTATAAATTTTCTTTTTAACTCATGTACATAAAGAAGTCAAACTGTTGGCATGATTGTAACATTTATTGAATTCTCTATTTAGGTTGTGAAATTCACGGCCCTAGGATTATTAGCTGTGGAGTTAAGGCGGGGTTCTAATGATTATATAGCATAAATTCTTCTACATGTAACACCTTCTTCTCCCCCAGTGTACATGTATATTTAGCATATAAACTAAGTGCATGGTTATGATGAGTAAAATTGTGTAATTTGTGGTCCAAGGGTCAGGGGTTCTGGTGATGGTGGGAGCTCTATTGATCATATAGTGAACATCTATTTTCTCTTTGAATATCTCCTTTGCTTCTGGGTATTAAGTAAACAAATAGAGTGCATAGTTATGATGAACAAGATTGCCTCTTCAACAAAAAAAATGAATTTCATAACCCCTGGGTAAGGGGTTCTAACGTTAAGACGGGGTTGTGTTGAATCTGATTATGCAGTATTTCCTTGAAAAATCTTCTCTAGAAAGCAAAAAGAGTACAGAGTTGTACTAAGCAAGAGCATTTTACCAGATTTTTAACTTCTGCACCATTTGTTCAGGTGATCTGATGCTGGGCAGGTCTCTGTTAATTTTTTTTTTCTACTGAGAGAAACTATTCTCCTTCGTTATTCACCTATTATAATTAATCACCGTAAATAGTGTAATTGATACGTAAATTGATTAAGAACATTATACCGGTTTTAAAATATTTAATACAAAAAGTACTTTCGTAGTTTTTAATTGTTAGGTAGACTTGTAAATAAAAGATAAATTGAAATGAGACAAAATACCTTTAAAAATTTATGTTCTACAAAGACTAAGAGAGGCCAATGTGAGCGGGAATGAGATGGGTTTACGAACAGTGTTCGAGCACTATTGTTTTGTTTACTCTGCATGGCAATAGTGACAAATGGGGGCAAGTACAGGCACGTGCAGTAAAACACGCTTATAACGAGGTGCCAGGGTTGAGATTTTGCTTTGTTATAAACGTAATTTATGTATCCATTAAGTTCGTACTACGTTTTAAAGCCACAGGAAATGAAAATCAATTCACTAGAACCGTCAATTCATTATAAGTGTGTTCACTTTAAGCGTGTTTTACTGTAAATATATTCATTTTAAGATTTATTACTGCGTAATAGACAAATCATTTTGCTGATCTCTGATCACCAGACTTCTCTTATTTTTGGACATCATATATGTAGCTTCATCTATCAGTTTATTTTGTTTTATTTAATACTTCTATGAATCTTTTTCAGTGTTGTATTATATTCAGCTGACCGTAAGACCTTTGGATTTATTGTATATTATAACTTCAGATGTACTCCTTTATATAATACTTCTTTTATTGAATCAGTGCCAAATGTGTCACGTCGTTAACTTGTCGTCATTTTGCTCTATTTGAAAGAAAAAAATCCTTAAAATCTTTAAATACAAATAAGGTGAAATGAAACCTGAGTACCAGTTTCTAATCATTTCTTGAAATAAACCTAACAAAATGTCTTTAATGACTTTCTGGGCTTTTCAGATACTAATCAAATTTCTGTTTCAAAGTAAATAATGTTTAAATCTGCTATAATGAAGTGCTTTTGCCTAATATCCCATACATGCCTTGTGAAAAACAAGTCTTTTTCATATCTGCGAAAGTACAGCAGAAAAATTGCGAGTATAAAGTTTCCGTTTTAATTTTATTTATACTATTCTGAATAAATACATGTATGTCGCTAGTAATTTACACGTGAGTGTTACATATAAGTGATAATCTGAACTGAAAGCAAAATTTTAAAGCATCCCAAAACATTGAAAGGGTATAATTATCTGCCTATAAAAAAATGGGTGGTTGCAACAATTGTGTTCTTTAGAAATAAGGAAGAAAAAGAAAGTCTGATGAGGATGTTTCTCTACTGTGTTTAATGTTACATTTTTACAATAAAGCAACAACAAATCCTGTGTAGAAACAATATGTCAACAAAATTTTCAGTTATTTAAAAAAGAAACATATTTCTGTTAAAAATTACAGTTTCCTAAATTGCTCAGAGATAATACACACATCTAAATATTTATTTATATTTGACAATTAGAGCAGGCTAGGCATCGTTCTGATAAAACAGAAACAAAAGCAGTACAAATGTACAAAGATACAAATATTTACGTATTTTAGCTATGTTTATATTTATAACAGGTTTTCTTCAATGAAAGTGAAAAATTGTAAAAGGCTAAGCATTTGAAAATAAAAAAAATATAAATTATTCTACCCTGAGTAAACACAGTAACACTGTTCAATTAAATTAAATACCAACATACAGAATAAAGCATCTTGATATAGTGTATAATGTTTATATGAAATCAGCAAATTTAGATCTTTACCTTTTAAAAAAAATAAAGAGGAAAAAACGAATGATAAATCCCTTCTCCTCAATTACACTAGTACTTAAGACCGTCATCTTGATCAATATGAAAGCAGCTCTAATGGTTAGCAACAGTAAATAGGTTTATCACGATGAAATTGATATATTCAGAGACAGCTATAATATATTGTAATTACATTATATTATTTTTTTAAATCTCATTGTCCAGTGAATCTTATTTTTACAAATGGACTTTTAATATATGTATTTTTTATTGAGCAAATGCAATTCATTAATCTTCCTTTAAGCCCCCTGCGCGAACTTAATCTTAATCTTGGCGGATTTGTTTTTTATTTATCATTATCAATGTACCTGAGGAATTGTGATATCCAGTTTGTGGAATTCTGGGAACTGCAACACATAAATTTCATTTTGCTTGAGTAGTGTACAGGTTTTCAGTTCGAATTCCCTTTGTTTTTGTTGTTATTGTAGTTTTTTTTTTTGCGTTTGTTCTGTTTTGTTTTCTTTTTTTTTTTTGGGGGGGGGGGGGTCTTTATTTTTTCTTTCTTTTTTTTTAATGTTCTGTGTGTGTGTGTGTTTTGCACGTGTCTCAAACGCTTGCTGTGCGAATAGACACATGTTTGCCTCATGCTGCTCTAGCTATGAACTATTGATTCACGGGATGGCTACTTAATATGGGCAATTACCAGGTGCCTTTATCACATATTAACCCTTAGAGTGATAAAAACGCTGCAGTCGTAATACAAAGTATTAACAAACAAATGCAATTCCATACTTAACAAAGTATGGAATTGCAAAAAAAAAAAAAAAAAAAAAAAAAAAATTGAACATCCATGAAAGTATAAATTTGCAGATTTTACTTTTGACAATGCAGAAATATATTTAATCTAAAGAAAAGGAACTACGAGCAAATATACTCCATGAAAAAAAATACTATCTTTTTTCCCCCTATTTTTTAGATTGTGTCTAAAATGGATGTTGTTAATCTACTATGTATGACACTTATCGTGATGTCAGTGAATGGCCAGAGTGTCCTTGATGGATCTAAGCTTTTGGACAAATGCCCATTGGCTAACATAGAGGAAGTGGAACTTCTGATCAACTCCGCAGCCCAAAGAGTTATAATGTCTCACTTACACAATATGGATTCTAGGTTCACTCAATACAGGATAGATATGAATGATTTGAAGAAAATGCTGCAAGACAATCAAGGCAAAAACAATATGGAAATCAAATTGCTGAAAGGAAAAATTCAAGAGCAGCAAGATTTAATAAAGAATTTGCACAAAAATGTGGAGGCAGAGGCTGTGAAACAGGGTACTTTTTCAAATGCAGGAATATATTCTAGCAATATTTAAACAAATAAATCTTGCTTAGGATATGCTACTACACGCTAAAAGTGTGTCAATTTTTGCTAATATATTTAAACAAAAAAATCAAAATCAAAGAAAGTCTGTTACTAAAGTGATAAAGAATGAAAATTCTTCAATTGATATTATAAGAAAATAGAGAATATTGTTTGATTTACACCTGTAATAATTTTCAAATTGTGTTACCTAGTCGCTGAAGATAGCGTTACCCGTCGGTTTGCATCTATCTCGTTTCCTCTGTAATCTTGTAAGGGTTAAATATTTCTTTCCCAGAACCCTATTTCATTCAAATGAACAAGTTCCTGATGTGATGTAGATATGGAAAATGAATTGAATTGAACTGTTCAAATGGATTCGCAGTAGCCTACTGGTACCTTGATCAGGCGGTCCGGGTCGATTCTAGTCCCTTGCGCAACAACAAATCTAAGACGTTTAACATAGACAGTGACTGTTCCTTCGTCAAGTGCCCGGAATTTGAACTTAACGTCTTTCGAGTGAGATCTTAAAAAATGAGATCACATGCCTGGGGTAGGCGATGGTCCAAAAAACCCACTGCTCAATGGCCCTAAGTGCCGAGTAAACGTCTAAATTTGAAGACCCTCCAGTATTTGGTGACGTCTTGAATGAGTGAAAAATTCTAGCAAGGGACGTAAAAAAAAATAAAATGTTCTAATGAAGGAACAAGCCTCCTTTTAAATTAGAATGCCAATAAAATATTTTCTTGTCAAAAAAATCTTCTTTTGAAGCCTTCGTAACAAAGTCTACTGCTTATGAAAATCTTGGTATCTTCTACATATGTAAAACATTTATGTGTTTTTTGAAGGTGCACGACTCGTAAATGGAAGTTCTTTTAGAGAAGGCAGAGTTGAAGTCTACAAAGATGGCGTATGGGGGACAGTTTGTGATGACAACTGGGACTACAAAGATGCCAATGTGATCTGTAGACAACTATTTGGATTAGTTGGGTATAGTCATCAAATTTTTATTTTAAAAAACTGTAATGTTCATCATTGAATTTTATGTCGTTTAAAAGAATTCTGTTTTCTAGTGGTTCAAATTTATTGAGGGAAGAGGAATTGACTCTTATATCTTTATTCACTATGTGCATTTTATTTGGGGAAAAACCATACAAGTAAAATTTGAGGTACCAGTTTCCCTTCTTACTGAATGCATGGGATCATTGGGTGTGGTATATTTAAATAAGTTTTCTTCATAAGAAAATGGTAGGAAGAGTGGAGCAGAACAATAAAAACAACCTTTGTTAAAGAATTAAAAATAATTAAGGAGTATTTTTTGAAGGGGGGGGGGTTGTGGGTGGAAATTGACAAATGTAGGCTTCAATGATAGTTTTCGTAACAATTGCTTCCAGGTTTTTATCTCCTCCTAAATACCAAAAATGAACAAATACTCTTTAATTGATGCATTCTTTATCTCAGTCGGCAGAATAATGTCCTTTGGCAATTATTATTATATATTAGGTCACTTGAGTCACTCAGGTAACTTATTGCTATCTGTGTTCGTCGGTCGTAGTGTGTCGTTTGTCGTGCGTGAACATTTGAACATTTTCAGCTTCTCCTCTGGAACCACTGAACCAATTTCAGCCGTTTTTGTCAATTTGCATTTACGAATGTAGGGGAACAAAAATTATTAATTTCATGGTCCCTGTCCCCCTGGGGTTTGAGGACTGGGGCTAAAGACACCAAAATCAATGCAATTTATAAAAAAAATTCTTATCCTGGACATCAAGCAGTCAAACTAATAGCATGATTGAAATAAGCATTGAGCCCTCTAACAGAATTGCGAATTTCATGGCACCAGAGTTCTGGTGTTAGGGCTGGGCTCTATAGATCTTATAGTGAAATTGCTTAAATTCCTCAAAATATCTTCTTTTTTCCCTCTGTATATTAAGCAGACAAAGTAAATGCATAGTTTAGATGAGCAAGGGTGTTCTCGCAAAATTGTGAATTTAATGGCCTTTGGGTCAGGAGTTCTTGTGTTAGCGCGTAGCTCTATTGATTATATAGTGAAAATGCATCATTTCTTTGAAAATATTCTCTGCTCCTGGACATTAAAGGCCGAGGTTTTCAACCGGTCGGTTTTCCTCAGGTAAGTTTGGTGTGGGGTGGAGCTTAATTGAAACGGCTGTGAAGCCCCGAGGGAACCAAGCTGGCTTGTGTATACCTACATATATACACAGGATGTTACCTGTATATTACCTGTAAATGTTTTCCTAAGAAATAGTTTAACTTCGCGTGTTGGTCAATCGAAATGTTGATCGTCAAATTTATGAAATAAAACATGCTAAATTTTTTATGTAGAATGATTCCTTTAGTTCAATTCTTTTTTTTAAATATGTTTGAATAATGGAGACAATTTTAGTTTAATTTTTTTTAATAAATTTCAAATCTTTGGTTGTAAGCTGGCGACACCGACGGAAATAGTCATTCGCAAAACGAAAGTAGAAAAAAGTGCGGTCCTGAATAAGTCTTTAAAACTAAGAAATCCTGTTTGAAGGCTAAATTTTGTAGAAAATATATGATAAATTAGATAAATATTTTTCATATAATTCCTATGTGATTAACCCATGACGCATGTTTCGTAAAAATGGTCATGGCATCCGCGTTTTGTTTCTCCGACAGGTAGACGAAATGGGAATATAATCACTTTATCCTACTTTTTTCCTCGGGATCCATAATTCTAAACATAACTTGTATATGCAATGACAGCTTTTATAATACTGCTTATTTCTCTTTAAAACTGCTTATTTTACCATAACTTTCATCACCATGTCTCGAAGAAATATTACACATCTTAAAATTTTTAACTTGGATAATATGACTATCTCATAATTAAAAAAAAGGAATTATTATTTAATTTAATTACACGATGCTTCCAATGCAGTTCAGTATTTTCTGTTTTAATAAAATCGATGTACGTGTAAATTTGGACAAGCTGTACTGCAATATAGATTGTATAGTGAAATAAACGCTCTTTCTTAATTACAATTTCAATAGATATATGACTGATTTTCTTTTTCATTTATTTAATCATTTGACAGACTGATTAAATATAAATTATATATGGCTATATACTCTATCATAAAGTAAAAAAAAAATAATATCAGCTCTGACTGCTTCTTTATCACGATGTTATATATGCGGTAGGCATCAAAGACTGAATGTTAATTCAATGATCGGTACGATTCCCAGCCAAGGTATACAAGATATACACAACGGCAGGTAACAAAATGTCAATCAATTTTCAGTATCCAATCTCAGGCTTAATTTCATCTGATTGACAGGGGTTCACAGAACAGGTAAAATTGAGGGTGGAGCTTATTTCCTCCCCCTTTAAGCAGATAAACTAAGTGCATGGTTATAACAAGCAAGGATGCATCTTTCAAAATTGTGAAATTTATGGCTCCTGGGTCAGGGGTTTTGGTGTAAGGTTGGGGCTCTATTGATCATATAGTGAAATGCAAAAATTCAATAAAAGTCTTCTCTGGACCTGAGTATTTAGCAGACAAGCTAATTGCATAATTATGATGAGGAAAGATACCTATTTCAAAATTGTGAATTTCATAGGTCCTGAGTCAGGGATTTTGGTGTAAGGATGGGGGTCCAGTAAACATTATTTAAGCATATTAAATTCTTAATAAATCTTCTCTGATCAAACTGCATGGTTATGGTGAGCGAGGATACCTCTTTCCAAAATTGCGAATTTCTTTATTCATGGCTCAAGAGTCAGGGGTTCTGGTATTAGGGCTGATCTTTATCGATCATATAGTGAAAATGCATTATTTCTTTGAAAATATTAATTTCTATCCCTGGGTATTTAGCATACTTAGTGTATGGTTATGATGAGCAAGGATGTTTCTTTCAAAATTGTGAATTTCATTGCCCAGGGGTCAGGGGTTTTGGTGTTAGTCCGAGTTCTATTGATAATATAGTGTAAAGCATTATTTCTTTGAAAGTCTTCTTCTCTGCTCTTGGGTACTGTAAAGGTGGAAATTTTGACGACGTGCTAATTTTGACTATATTGACGATTTTTCTTTTCTCGTCAAAATTTCCACTCGTCAAACTTCATATCATATATATAGCGTCACAACAGACATTGACCGTTGTACAACTTTACCGCTTAATTTTCTCGGCTTCCCCCACTAAAACTAGATTAGAATTACTGTTTAATTTTCTTGTAAATAGTTATGAAAACACATAATCACAGTTTAAAAACCATTGAGTATGTCATATACTATTATTACCCATGGTCACAACATTCTAACTTTGCGTAAATATCACGCCGTGTTTGACCTACTTTGTCACCTCAGGCAATCGGTCTCGCATAATGAAAACAAAGACTAGTACAAAAGAGCAATTAATTCAATCAAATCTTATACACTGTAGATGGTTTTTACAAGCAAAATTAAATTTTATTGATGAGAACGCTTGTAAATGAGTTCCCGAGGAAGTCGCGGTCATTGCTTAAAACATCGTTTTTGGTCCTCTAGCTTCTGGCGAACTTACTCTGAGTACTAGTTTTGAAACTGGTTTTTTTTGGGGGGGAGTTCTTTGTATTCATTTTTGTTTTAATCTTGTGAAATCAAAGATATACATAACTCTTGATTCAATATTTTGTCAAAATTGACACTCGTCAATTTTCGTAAATAAAAAATCGTCAATTTTTCAACTCGTCAAAATAACAACGTTTACAGTATTTAGACGATTAACCAAAAACATGTGAAACATGACTCGTGAGTTCTCATGTAAGGGCGGGGCTCTTTTGATCATAAATTAAAATGTATAAATTCTTTGAAAATCTTCTTCACTCCCCCTGTATACTTAGCAGACAAAATTGTGAATTTCCTAACCCCTATATCAGGGAATCTGGTAATAGGGTGGGGCTCTATTGATTATTTAGTGAAAATACATTCTTTGAGAATCATATTCTATGCTTCTTGGCAACTACGAGGCAAATAGAGTACAAAATTGTAGTCAGCAAAGGTGATTTTACGAGATTTGTAAAATTTTGGACCACTGGGACAAGTGTTCTTGGGCTTGGTAGGACACCATAGATTTTGTAAGGAAATTTATACTCTATTGAGAAAAGTAATTCCCCTTTGCTGTTCAACTATGATAATAATTCACTGTAAAAAATGTAAATTCATAGGTCAATTGAATAAAAACAATTGTACAAGACGTTTTTTTGTATAATACAAAAACGTACCTTCATAGTTTTCACTGGTCAGATAGACTTATAAATAATTATACATGTAGATAAATAAAAAATGAGAACTTGAGAAATTATCTATGTACATTAAATGTTCTTCAAAGACCAAGAGAGGCCTTTCTGAGAGGAAATGTGATGGCTTTACTGTATAAGCTCAAGCATTATTTTTAGTATTTTGTATTATATTAGTCCGATTTTAATGGTAAAAAAAGCCATCAAATGACACTAATATCTGCCACATACAGACAATTCATTGAAGGGAGTCCTGATTCTTTATTATAGTGAGTAGAAAATTCGATTATCCATTCTGAGAGTAAAAAACTTGACTGATGATGGTCATAGACCTCAGATACTCTTTCTTTCATATAGTGGACAATTGCGGCGGGAGGGAGGGGATGTTGGTTCTCTCCCTCAAAAGTGAAATTTTTTATCCCACGAAGCATTGTACTTTGTCTAGGAATTTTCAAGTAAACTGATACGTCATTTCTTCAAGCATTTCTTCCTAGCATATTCTATTTATAAACTATACTGATTTTTTTTAATGGAGAACGAAATAAAAAAATAAATTAACTAGAGTGTTCCAAAGAAAGCATGTGCCGCTGTTATTGCAATATTAAAGATATATACAAAGCTGAAAGGCGTGGTCAACTTCTTAGTTATTTGTTTACTAGTTATATAGTTCATGCATTTACTGAAGAAAAAATCCATGGATAGTAAGAGTGCATAAGAGAAGTATTTATCATAAAATGTGACAATCAAATAGAAATAGGAATCCATAGCCCTCAAAGCGAATAAGTTGCAAATATCATAGGCAATATTTTCAATTCAACATAACCTTAAAACTTACTTCTGCACAGAATTGTCTCTTCTGAAATTGTCAAATGACAACTTGATGAAAAGGTTATGATAACAAATAGTGATCGATCTGAAAAAAATCCGACAAACAATGCAAATCTGTAAACAGGTCATAAAACACGGGCCCCCGGAAATTTCAGAGGTGGGATCAGATACCTAGCTATAGGAGGAATAAGCATCCCTTGTCGACAGGTCAAATCCGCCGTAAGTCAAATGTATTGATCAGGTAGACAGAATAATCCGTATTCAAATGTAATATATAACAAAGCCCAACAATTGGTTTGAAAATGTATCAGTCAAAATACGACCCAATGATAGACTGTATTTGCAAACAAGGTCTTTATAACGACCATAGAATTTACAAAATGTTGACATAAAGCAAGATCGAGGAACTTTGAAATCCCTGTAACATCAACATATCCCTCATTAACCTTTCGCAGTTTAAAGATTGTTCTTACTCAGAGCATGCTCTTACGTATCTACTACACAATGAACACATGACATGATCACGGTGTCACAGAAGGAAAAAGTGTCGATTTTTTCAATGAAGGAACAGCAGACATTTGAGTTTTTGTCCGCTACATATCAAAACTCGATGAGCAAAATATCTTAAGGTCAAAGTAAAATGGTTTATAACGCTGATATTATCCAAAATATTGTATGACAAGCGACGTCAATGTTGAATAGCTTATACTTACCTCTCGCCTACAGAGCAGACGCCAGACTAAATGATTCCTAAATGTCGATTTGCTTTGCGGGCATAACAAAAACTATTTGAAAAATAACATTCAGTAGAAAAGTGATCTGTAGGAAAATATAAAAAGAGATGATTTTAGCTTTTCTTTCGTCAGCTTCCCATTTTTTCCATACTTATGTAGCAGCATATCATTATCACATGCATAGAGAGTCTAAGATTCCTTAATTCGGTAGAAGAGATGTTCTACGTACGATTCATTTTAAACTGAGGCAGGCTACTGACAAAAAGTTAATTGTACAGGGGGCTTCAACAGTCTCATTTAAGGTTCACATTTTGCAAATCTCATGTAGTTAAAATGACTTTCACAAACAAAACCTATCACTGAGTGGAATTATGACTGAAATGATTCATTCCAATAGTTCACTTTTCATTTTAATTTGACTACGGATTTCTCCGTTTACCTGATTAATAGAAAGGGTGCATGGATGGTGTCACAGGTCGACATGCTTACTCCTCCGAGGCTTCTTATCCTGTTTCTGGTGTTTCCAGGGGTCCATGTTTTTGTCCTGTTCTCGGTTTGTATTGTTTACAAGATCCATAAGACTGATCACCGTTATCCTGACCTTTATTCATTTATTATCAAATCCTTTTTCTGACACTGGGTGTTAAATTTCCTGTTGATCAAATATTTTTTGAGGAAGCCTTTTATTTGTTATCTAAATTTCAATGACACAGACACATAACTTCCTTCTTGTCAATGATTTCGGTCTTTTTTTTTTTTACTAAAACCTTCCTTATCATACAAATTTAACAGTAAGAAGAGGAGGAAGATCAATAGTTTTGTTTTGAACATATTTTATTAAATGAATCAAAGGGATCAGAAACAAGTTCTTACAACTTACGAGTTCCTCTCCTTAAATATAACAATGTCATGCAATTGAAATATTAATAGTACATAGAAATAGATTTAACAAGTGATAGAAGTGAAAATTCTGTTCAGTAACATAGCAATTAAAATCTACAGGTTTCATCGATAAATTTATACACAGCAGCAAAATATTTATATTACTCTGTAAAGGCAAATTTACATCACCCCATAATAACAAATTTGTGTCAATAGTGACCAATTCGTCAGGTATAAATAGGCGGTTAAAAAGATTATTCCTAGCGATTGGATAATTCCTGCATGCAAAAAAGAAATGATAAACATCTTCATACTTCCCACATAAACATAAAGGACTGTTAATAATATTTCGTTTGTGTAGATCATAGTTAAGTTTTCAGTTGTGTTGAGTTTAGTATGGATTACATTTGTGTAACGTTTACCAAATGAAAAATAGATGGTGAAGATCAGTAGATTTAGATTATTTAGTCAAGATTTGTCTTTTTTATGTGACACAAGGAAAAAAAAGTATATCTCAACGTGAACTTATTATTTTCTTTCATAGAAAAATAATGGAAGGGATAGACATTAATTTGATGTCGCTTGGTGAAAGGACAATGTAAAATGATCAAGAGTGTTGCATTTCAGTGTCAATTTTCTGAGATTTTCTGACAAGATAAATAAGATTGCCTTACAGGTTATTTATAAATATTTACATTTGCAAATGTTTTCCTTTATATAACACTATTAAAAGCAATCTGTATCTATATCCGTATAAACACGGGTTCCTCGCGTCATAAACGTTCGACGTAATTTCTCAGTGACGTCATAAAGGGTCGACGCGCAATCAATAGATCAAACTTGTGCCGTTGAGTTTGAAAAAAATAAAACATTTCACGCGTTAAAGGTTATAATCAGGCTAATAAATAATATGAATAAGTCACAAATGTAAATATAACTAATAAGGTATCATTTTAAAACATCTATCGGATATAAATACGGGTTGGTACGAGATCAAATTTACCATAAAGCCCTTCGGGCTTTATGGAATTTGATCTCGTGACCAACCCGTATTTATATCCCGATAGATGTTTAAAGATGATACCTTATTTCTTAAATGCATACTTAGTACCCACGATATGTTATAGACAGTACACATTATGACGTCATGTTATGACGTCACTGATCTTACCTTCTGGAGGTAATAAAAAACATCAACAAAACAGCTTCGGCGCAAGGGATTACCCTATTTATTTTTACAAAAAAATTGTATAATGCTAAGAAGAATATTCTATAGATTAATAAAACTGCTGCACAAATCCTAGACATTCTCTCATTTGATCGGAATTTGAGGAAACTTATACCGGACTGTACATTTTTACCGTTATTCAACTTCAAACTTTACTAAAAGAAATTATACAACTGAGATGTTGATATTTGTGCAGCAATACCAGCAAACCTTGGAATATTTTGCTTCTAAATATACCTTGTTTCAGTTAAATAATATAGAGCATGCCCTTGCGCCGAAGCATTTTTGTTGATGTCCATTATAATCTTGTGTAGTAAAGAACAATGACGTCATAATATGACGTCATAATGTGTACTGGCTATCTCATGTCATGGGTACCAAGTTTGTATTAGACAATAAGTTTGAACTTTCTCTGTATAATAGATAAAGTCATTAAGCATTTTAATTAGTTTATTTGCATAGAAATGCCTATACCTAGCCTTAACTCACCTGCGCAGTATTTTTTAAAATAGTTTTTATTTAAGCAGAAATGAAATCTAAATGTTATGAATATGATTATAAGTTTTATAGTTGTTGAAGACTAATTTCATTATTTATTGTGAAAACTTTAAGTTGACTCCGAGAATATAAATTAGAGTACTTGTATTATATTTATTTTCTAAATGATCTGTTTAAGTTACATGTCATAAGCAAGTCCTCTCTGGCACTCTTCATTCTGTCAAAGAAGCACTCTCTCTCTCTCTCTCTCTCTCTCTCTCTCTCTCTCTCTCTCTCTCTCTCTCTCTCTCAATAACTCTATTCTCAAAAAAAGTATTTCTCCCTTTGTAAGGATCGGTAAATGTAACTCACTTGGTTTCCAGCAAAGCTTATACAGTATATTGCTAGTTTGAGTTCAAAGGCCAAAAAAGATTACGAAACAATCATGTTTAACTGATATTTTCTTAACTGTGAAAATTTTAAGAAGTGGAACATTTTCGATTTGAATATGCCGCCAGTCATTAGACATGACGCATGAGCTACAAACACTTTCAAGTAAAGCAAACAACTTCTTTTCTTGTACAAAGAACGATTTAAAGAACACAAATTCATATGATGCTTCTACAGAAAAAAGAATTAGTTTAAATTTTCTTTTAATTCATTAGAGTATATTGTACCTCAGGTAACCAATAATATGCAGACATCATGATTTGTTTACTTTCTATTAAATATATCAAGTTCATTGATCTTTACTAAATCGCCATTTTCGACATTTATAAAGTTGCCTTATTTTATTCAAATAATTATCATTCCAATCATGCAGGGAAAGATGAGAGAAGAATTTGAATCTGCTTTTATTCATGTTGTAAAAGACTGCATAAATGTAGATCTACTAAAAAGTATGGTAATTAAGGGTAAACAAAGACGCTATTCCTCTTTAAAGAAATTCTTTTATGTTCAGATTTTATTTATTTTTTTTATTTTTCCCCAAGTATTCGTAACCGCAGTCTGTTCTTGACTTTTTTGTATTATTGCATCTTGAACAAAAATGTTTGAAAGTTACTATACATTAAATCATAGATAAAATTATGTTTTTTACAGAAGCCCATATAGCAATGCACATTTTGGACATGGAGTTGGTATTATTCAAATGGATGATGTCGGTTGCTATGGTTATGAAAGTTCCTTAATGCATTGTACGCATACAGATCATCTAAGTCATAACTGTGGTCACTCGGAGGATGCAGGTGTTGTATGTATAAAAGGTATTTGTAATACTTTTTTTCTCATTTTAAGCTCACTTGCACACATTTATCTATATGGATGAATATGTTTGTTTGTAGGTTCGATATAAATATTTTTTTTATTTTCGACTTCTTCAGAACCAATTGATCAATTTTATATAAATTTCCCTAAAACCATTCTTTGGTAAATGGAACTTTATTCTTTTTAAACAACAGCCTTTCTCCTATCTAAGGGGAATCGTAATGAAAATGTAAAAAAAAAATGACCATTTAAAAAAAAATCTTTATTCAAAAAGAAGAATTACACTTATGTAAAGGATTACTATTGTATAGATTATTTTGGTTCCGATCATTCCCCTGCAGTTTTGGATTATATTAGCAATAAGTTTTCATTTGATTAATTCGGGTTCCCTCTATAATGTACAAAGCTAATAAGTACATTACAGAAAAGAGGATGATTTTATATATATATATATATATATATATATATATATATATATATATATATATATATATATATATATATATATATATATATATATATATATATATATATATATATATATATATATATATATATATATATATATATATATATATATATATATATATATATTCAATAAAATATTTTTCCTTGGTATAGGGATAATATATATATATATATATATATATATATATATATATATATATATATATATATATATATTCTAAAAGATTGCCCCTTTCACTCACATGTGTAATAATTTTTTTAATATATTTTGTTTGAACTGAAACATTTTTTTTCTTTGATAGAAATCTTATGCTTTATAATTGGGTTATTAAAGACAGAACTTAATAAGAGCTTTATTATCTAGTATATATGTAAGAAATTAATGTCAATTAGAGTACTTCTTTCAAGTCATATAATGAAAAAGATGAAGCTAAAACACTGATCGATCTCAATAAATCTACAAACAATATAAATTGTGAACAGGGCATAAAAATCAGACCTCCGCAATCCATATATCTTGAAATTAAAACTAATAAGTTGAAAATATCATAGGAAATATTTAAATTCAACGAAACGTCAAATTTTTAACCTGTAAACTTATTTCTGCATGGATTCGTCTCTACTGCAATTGTGCATGTCAACTTACGACTTGATAAAAAGTTGAACATAACGATCAGTGACATGATCGATCTAAAAAAAGAACAATCATACGAGCAATACAAATCTATGAACAGGGCATAAAACACCGAACTCCGGATATTCCAGAGGGTTCAGGTGCCTAGGAGGAGTGAGCAACCTCTGTTAACCAGTCACAATCGTATGCCCTATGTATTGATCATTTAGAGGGAACATTCCGTAGTAAAATTTAGTATAAAAACAAAGGCTCAACAATTGGTATGAAACACATCAGCCAAAATACGACCCAACAATAGGTGATATTTGTTAAGGTCATTATAACGACCATAGAATTTACGAAATGCTTACTTTAAACGACATGGTTGATATCCTTGTAACATCGCTTTATTTGTCAGTAGGCTGCCTCGCTTTAAGAATAATCATGCTCAGAGCAAACTCTTGATTATCGAATGAGTCAGGAGACGTAAACAACATATGCAGATGAAAGCGGAATATTATTACAGAAATAATGAAAGTTGACAATAAAAAAGCTGCTTAAGTCATCTCGTTTGTCATACAATTTAGTTGTTAGCTCGTCCTTTTTGGGCTTAAGTTCTGATCCTCCAGGGTATACAATTTAGGTAAGACATTTTACAAAGGGAAATTATTTATAAACTTCTCTATATATCTTATATGAAGGCAAAATCCTTTCAGGTAATTTTTATTTTGCCAACAAGAGGAAAGTCCCGGTTAACACTTATTGCAAAGCACTAAGTCAAATGATTAAACGACATTGTTGATATTGTCGAGTTAGGTTTACATTGCAAGAATTTTATTACAGTAATGAGTATAGTCATCTGTCAGAAAAGCAATATTCCTTTCTCAGAAATTCAGAGAGAGGGAGAGAACACAAAAATAAACGAAAAATGTGAAAAAATATCCTTCTCTAATTAGGATTAAAGTAAGTAATCATTACTCTGAATCGAAATAATTGTCAGCATATTTTTTTTCTTTTCCTGTGCTGTGTAAATTTCTTTGTTTTTTATTATTATTATTATTTTTGTTTTTTATTGTTTTTGGATTATTTACCTGGATTCTCTATCCCTAATATCTTAGCCCCACCTATACGACTTTCAAGACAACTAGAATTTCAAGGACGAGTAGAAGTTTACAAGAACAATGAATGGGGAACGGTTTGTGATGATGATTGGGACCATGTCAATGCTGGTGTTATTTGTAGAAGTCTAGGTTATAGTGAGTAAGTATAAAATTCAGTTCCAGTGAGTTTTTCTAATCACATTTTGTCCGGCGTCGGTCTGTTCGCCTATTTCTCTGTTTGTAACTTTTTGCATTTTTGACTTCTCACATTTGTGACTTCTTCTCGAGTACCGCTGGTCCAATTAAAACCAAACTTCCTACATCCTTGTGTAAATGGAATTCAGGTTAATTCATTCGAAGGAACACACCCTCTTTCAAGGGCTTACAATTAAGAATAAGTGAAAAAATCAGTGGCATCTTTGAGAACTCTTTCAAGAACCACTGGGCCAGAAAATATAAAACTTATGTGAAAAGTTCATTAGATATTTACAAATTTTAATCTATAGAATGGGGCCACAATAGACGATGAACGTTTTACAAAGGAATATATAGGAAAATACTTTGAAAATCTTCTTCACAAGAGCACTAAAGCTTAACGTTTACTCATTATATTGATCATCATATATTAATATGGAATCATTTCTAGGTAGTATAGATTAAAGTTTGTTCAAAACATGACCCCTATGGTAAAGGTGGGCCCACAATTGGAAATCAATAATTTTCTAAAGTTTGTTAGAATCATGACCCCCGGGGTAGGGTGAGGCCGAAATAGGAGATAAAGTTTTACTACGAAATGTTTAGGATAAAATCTTTTAAAGTCTTCTCAAGAACAGCACTACTATTATAAGTCATATTAAAATAGAAGCATCCAAGGTTATGTACATTTAAATTTGTTCAAATTATGGCCCCTAAGGAAACGAAGGAGTATATGGAGAAAATCTTTAAAAATGTTCTCAAGAACAGCATGGCTTTGAGTATATAAATAAATATGAAAACATCATCATTTGTATGGATTTAAGTTTGTTCCAATGATGGTCCCTTGGGGAAGAATAGGGCCATAATAGGTCATAAATATACCCTCCCCCCCCCCCCGCTTGAAAAATGGGGGTGTAAAGTTCATTACACTTTGGGTACCGATCTCTTATCCGCAACTCCTTCTCCATACTGATTAAAATTTATCTTTTTATTTATCCAAAATTATCTTTTGCAGAATCTTTATAACATAGTGGCACTGTGCATCTTCTTTTTTATTTTTCAATAATGCAAATAATTAGGGTTACTTATAGCAAAATATTGGCACTGCCATTCTTTCCATAATAGGGAGTATCCATCTCTTATTCGCAATCGTTCTCTACCAAAATATAAAATTTGATGGCACTTTCACAGAATTTTTATTACATAGTGCAAATGTGTACCTCCTTTGTTATTTTTCGATTGGAAAGATTAATAGAGTTACCAATAGGAAAATATGGACACTTCCATTCTTTCATCACGTGGGGGTACCCATCTTATCCGCAACTCGTCCTGTACAAGTGAATAAAATTTAACGAGACTTTCACCGAATCTTTATTTAATAGCGCTATTGTGCACCTTTTATATTTCTGTTTGGTCGAAAAGATATTAGGGATTTGTCATATCAAAACATGGACACTGCCATTCTTTCTATAACATGGAGGGGTGTCCATCTCTTATCTGCAACTCCTTCTTTACCACTGAGTAAGTTTTTAAAAAAATGAAATTTTACAGAATCTTTCCTACGTAGTGCCATTGTGTACCTCTTATTTTTCGTTTTCATTGGACAGATATTTGGGGTTTCCCATAGCAAAACCTGGTCACTGTCATTCTTTCTAAATCTTGGGGATACCCATCTTTTATTATATATCTTCCTTTATCTGAATAAAACTTAATGAAACTTTCACAGAATCTGTCGAACATAGTGCCATTGTGCACCTCCTACATGTATTTTATGTTCTGATCGGACAGATATTTTGGGTTTCTGATAGCAAAACATGATGGATTTTGCTATTATACTCATATGGGAGCTGGGGTATCATTTTGTGAGCTCAATGCTTAAAATACCTCTAGTTTTAAATTGGAATATATAGAAAAAAATATTTATCTCGTCTACTTATAAATAGAAACATTATTACTACTCATATTGATATGCATCCTCAGCTAGTTTACATTCAAGTTTGTTCAAGTCAGGGCCCACGGGTAAGGCTACAGTGTGGGATCAGTGTTGGATGTTTTTTTCAAGAGAGACTAAACGGCCTTGAATCTTTTTATAAGCAAAACATTTCTAGTAGGATTCAAACTTTTTAACTATGAAAATTAAGGGGCCTCTTTGGGCAGAAATCCAAATCTAAATTTTACATTAAGCATGTGTAAGGAAAAAATCTTCTCCAGAACAGCAGGGTCATGTTGGTCAAATATTGCGATCAATTCATAGCTCCCTTAGAACTAGATTTTGGTCCACAATATGAAATAAAGCTTCTTATGAAATTAAAGAGGGATTTTAAAAAGAAAATCTGTTGATGAAGAAAAGCAGGGCCAAAGTGACTCAGGTGAGCTTTGTGCTCTATGCCAACCCCCCATTGCATATACTTTTTACTGAAAAAATATAAAGAATATGAATACAGATCCAAAATAAATGCTGAAAAAGCAATCTTATCTGCTTATACCTACAAATGCATCTTCCTACTTTTTCGCCAAGAACAAAATCCATCCCTTTAATACTAGTATACACAGTATTAATAAATAAATTTAATTGTAATTTACTGTACCAGAACATTACCATGGTATATGTTTTACAGCCTGAAATAGATTTTCTACTTAACATTCATTAGGCATGGACTGGCCGTGTCAAATGCAGTTTTTGGAGAAGGATCTGGGTCTATACTTTTTGATGATGTACAGTGTAATGGACGTGAAACCGGTCTGTCTGAGTGTACATTTTCTTCCACTAATAATTGTAATCATAGAGAGGATGCTGGTGTAATATGTAGACTTCAAGGTGGTAAGTGGAGCTAGTCATACTCTTAAATATAGTTGATTCCACGAGAGAAAGTTAATTAAGAGGAGTTTCAACGCTTTAAATACTTATAATACCTTGAATATCTATACACTATAGATCATATCAGATTATCAAAGGGAACATCTGTCAACGAAGGTATTCTTGAAGTGTTAATTAACAGAAAATGGGGAGCCGTCTGTGATAGAAACTGGGATCAAAGTGACACAAAAGTAGCTTGTCGGTCTCTCGGATATTCTAGGTAAGAATTCTAGTGTTATGGTATTGTGGAATCTCGATTATCCTGATGCTTTGGTTACTAGTGAAAATCGATCGGATAAGTGAAGCGATTCACTTATGATACGTACACTGTATTTTATGGTCTAATGCTAATAGAAGTAAAGAATGCTGAATTACATGTACAGAGGATATCCAATAGTTTGAAGGTCAATTTTTTCGGGAGGGGGGATTTATTTCATGAGTGGGACTGGATTTTAGTTGATATTTTCACGAGTGAGAGGGGCGTAATTTTAGTTCTCTTTGATTTGTTGAGTTTGACTGTTCTCGTTTTTTAGCAGACAAAACGTGCGTTGTAATGATGAGCAAAGGTGCCTCATCCAAAATTTTGAAAATTTATTGCCCATGGGAAAGGATTTTTTGAGTTATGGTAGGCTCTATTGTTTCATATGGTAAAAATGCATTGTTTCTTTGAAAATCTTCTCCACTCCTGGGTATTAAGGAGAAAAAAGTACATTGTTATGACGAGCAAGGCTGCCTTTTCAGAATTCTGCAGTTAGGGTCAGGCTCTATTGGTCATAAAGTGAAAATCGTAGATTCTTTTAGAATCTTCTCTCCTCCTGGGTATTAGCAAAGGAACTAAGTGCATTGTTACAATGAGCAATAGTGTTTTTTCCAAAATTGTGAAACACATGGCCCCTGATGCAGGGGTTCTGGAATTAAGGGCGGGGGGGGGGGTCTTTTATACATGTAATCATATTTTGGAATTTAATTTGCTTTAAGTTATTCCAGTTTGTTAGCAACTTATGATAGTTTACCATTGTAAATAATGTAAATGATAGGTAAATGGAATAAGAGTAATAAAAGAATTTTTCATGTATAATACTAAAAAGTTCTTTAATGGTTTTTAATAGAGAGGTAGACTTGTAACAATAAATGAATAAAAATAAGAAAGAATACCTTATATGTACATTAAATATTATTCAAAGACCATCACAGGAAGAAATAAGACCTTTCAGTTAAAACTGAAGATCGGCTTTCAGTGACTTCTCAGTGGCCATTCTGTCACTGAATGACAGGTACATTTCAGTGACCTTTCAGTTACCTTTCAGCTACAATTCAGGTACATTTCAGTCATCATTCTGTAGACACATTACAGTTTTCTTTCAGTAACATCTCCGTTCCCTTTTGCCGTCTTTCAGTCGCCTTTCAGTTATTTTTCAGTCGTAATTCAAGAAATTTACTTCGGCTTTTAATGGTAAATAATTATTAATCAATTTATAACAATTTAATTTAATTATTTATATCCTTTAATGTCTTTCTGGTGTTCTTATTGTGATAGGAATATTCAAGTTGAAATTTATCCATTGAACTGATAATGGCTAGTTCATTGATTATGATTATATTGTTTACTAAAATTTAAAACTGCGATTATAAACCATAAAGTATATGTCTACATATAATTATACATGTAATAATATATTGAATATGACAACTCAAATGTGAACTCATATTTTTAAAGTTCTAATTCGTTGCACAAAAATGGATTTAGAAAAAGAAAATTATTTAAACGATTAAATACAATGATCCAATATTAGCATCAGAATTTAATAAATTTCATAGAATTTGCTCCTTTTCTTTCCGTAAGATCGTTAAATCCGCGATTAATATTTTCACAAGCTTATACAATCTAATTGAAAAATGAACAAAAATCAGTCAAACGTGAAAAACAAATTCAGAATAATGATGATATTGCTTTAGAACGATATAATACTTTTCTCAGCACTTTTTACATTCTCTGCATTAATCTTTGTCCATCTTATGCGGCTAGTTTTCTTGGAACTTCTTGGAGTGGAAGCAGAGACAGAATTAATCATTTATGCCTCTTGTGGAAGTAATTTTGTTTCTTAATTGTTGAAATGAAATGATGCTTTAGATTAAAAAATCATTTTTAAAAATCATTTCATATATAAAATTCTAGAAGTAGAATTTACAATATTCTCTAAGGTGAAAGTTTATCTCGAATAATTTCTTTTTAAAAAAGCAGATACCCGTCGCCGATAATTGTCATTATCCAAATAAGAATAATGTAATAATTAGTCTGATTCAAACCTTTGCGCAATCAACATAGAATATTTACATTTGCAAATATTTTTCTTAGATGAACCTATGGAAGAAAAAATACATTTAATTCTGTGAGATGATTCTGCTTACATATTTTTGTCACAGTGAAACTGGTTTTGGAACTTCTAACTTGATAGCGATGAAAAAGATAAAATAATTGAAACATATTAGTGTTGTCAAATCGGACGATTTTTAGTAACCGGTTACTCGCTTCCGATCGAGTACCCGGTTACTCGAATGATTTTTTCGTTATGCACAGTTACCATATCTATTATTTATCTCATCCTTTACCTACAGTTAGAAATGAAACAAATGTACTGCGTATATAGGAACTTTTTACAATTACAAACTTAAACACATACACAATATCTTCACAGAATTTTTGATTTTAGATTGCAGTTGAAACGGACAGTTTTTGTTTAAGAAAATAATTTTATCGACACACGAAGAAGACGGATATTTAGTCGTCAATCACCATTTTCACAATGGCTCTCGTTAAGTTTTTTTTTTTTTTTTTCAGCCCCTGTTATATGTAGCGATCAAGGAGAATTCAAATACCCGTAATTACTGGTTGATTTGTAGAGTGTCCAGTAAATCGCTGGTTTCCGAATAATGTTTTAATCTTAGGAGATTTAACATATTTGTAGTCCCATTCGTATACAATAACTCCGATTCACATAATTTACATTTTACAGATCTCGAATCAGCTGTTCTTTTAAAATACTTCCAAGCTTTATATGTCTGTGGCGGCATCTTATTAAATTATGCTCCTTTGACTAGCACAGGTGTAAATGAGGTAATTATAACTCAGGACTTCATTTTTTTTTTATATCCGTGGCAATCAAAGCTATCAATTATATAAAATGTGAAAACTAATAAAAAAAAAAATCGATCCTATTTGTGAACCACTAGATCAAGTCTAACGGTAAATAATTTTAGGTAAATGTGTTATTATACATTTATAAACAATATAACATTTATTTTCTACGTATTTACTATATGAAATGTATTTTTATCCGAGTAACCGAATAGCAGTTTTACTAACCGATACTCGCATTGTTCGACGATTAACCGGTTAACCGGGTACTCGTTGACAACACTAAAACATATGTATTTTTTTCAGTCAACAGGTGTCCATTAATATATTTTCCTTCAGTGTGAAGAATGTTTTGAATAATGTTATTCGCCTAAAATCGCGCTTACCTTTTTAGCCCGAATTTCATTTGAAGGTATAAAGAACTAATAAAATAGCAAGATTATTCTCAGTGCAGTCGTTTGACCAGTTGCGAATAGGGAACCGAAAAGGCGGTGCTATAAATATATGACGGCATTATTTCAAAATCTAATTTGTTTGTCAACGTTGTTCAATGGCTTGCGGAATTAAAAGTTTCATAAAAGTTCAACCTTTCAAAAAAAATTTTATTTTAGCAAGTTAACATGGGTACTCATTTCACTAGTTAAGCCGGAATAAGCCGACGAGTTCCTAATACCTTAGTGGTTCCCATGCAATTCGACCCTAAATTAAAAATATCCGTCACACACATTATCAATTGACATGCCTAGGAAAAGTTAAAATAAATGCTTACCAGTAAGTAAATGGTATTTTCAAAGGATAAAGAGAAATAACCGTCACATTTACAATGAACAAATAACAGAAAACTAACGTATTATATAGTGTTTATAATGGGTATTCGGAACTAGTATGACAACACGAAAATATTCCGATATCTTCCGGTGGTCTAATTGTTTAATTTCGGCAAGCTTTTGGTATTTGTTAAAAAAAACTCACTTTTGATAGTTGAAATGTTGTTTTATATGAAAAATTGACGTCTTTACAGACGTTTTTTTTTCTGCAGACAAACGCGTCGCGGTTGCATTGTAAAAGTATGTCGCCTGTTTCAATTACGATAGCGAACACAAACTGACGGCAAAAAATTAAAACTTCACATAATTCTTACATTCATAGATAAGCCTTCATACCATATGTATGAATATATGTTTAAACTTTTGAATTTATTAATTAGCAGCTCTTAAATTATTAATTAATCGGAAATGATCAAAATTTGGAACTGGTCAAACGACTGTACCGATCATTGTTCTATCATTATAAACAGAGATCTCCTGATCTAGCTTGCTAAACATCAATGTAAAGGTACACCTCTATATGAATGGGGATCTGACCTATAGGGCCGGGATTGGTTTTTGTCCTTACAAAAAGCGTGTCGATTTCCGTTCCCATTAATGACTTTAGACTAAATGCGTGTAATAATTTGTTTTTCATAAATCTTTATTTCAGTAAGTAAAGGTAGGAGGAACCCTTTCATAGACATTGACCATGTAGCATGATATTGTCAACACATTCTGAGTTTGTTATCTCGAAATGTAATAACTGATATTTTTCTTTACTTCTCCTTCTATATAATGGTAATGTCTACAGTCTCAATTCTATTCTTGATGTGTATTTGTTTTACAACACGTTTCCGTGGATATATTAAAAACATGCCATTATGCAAATTATATAAATGAAATACAAGGGAGTGCAGTGACTGATATGTAGCCTTACTGATCTGAGTTTAGAACATTGACTCAGTACAAAAGTACAGTCGTGTATGTTACTCTAAATATATTAAGCTCAAATAATTCAAGCAATACGTATCATATTAACCCAGATAACCACTAGTAGTACAGACGGAATAAAAGCATTATGTGATTAAATTCTATGGAAGGTATACAATTGAAATCCATCTCAGCTCATTTCAGCCGAGAATATCTGTATCGAGTAACACGAAGTGAGTTATTCTTGTCCTCGAAGAAAGTGTGCTATACTGAGGTAAAGTTCCGCTTGACTGTGTTTTAGATACATTGGTATGTTGCGATTTGCTCTCTCTTTAAATAGTGTTTCTTATATCAAAAATGGACATGCATAAATGATAGATAATTGAAGGAAAATACACAAACCTACTAAAATAGTCTTTGAAAAGGCGAGAATTTAAAACTATGAAAGTGTGGTACCATGTGGATTCGCACCCCCGACTTTAAAAAAAAGTACCCACGGTGTGAATAGTCAGCGTTTATACCAATTGAGCTATTCTGACTATAAAAATAATTTGTATAAATGTGAAGCAGATTGTCAAAATCAGGTTTCCTTATTTTTTGTAGGTTTTTTGTGAATTTCGAACCTAGGGCAGGGGTGCCCCTTAAAAAATGCTATCTTAAATCATTCCTTGCATCCCAACCTATCAAAATGTCACATTTTTATTTAGGGGCAGGCCTGCCCTGAAGGACTTCTAGCCCAAAATTCATGCAAAAATCGACACTTTAACGGACAAAATGCTGATTTGGCCAACTTTGGAGGTTTATTCTTAAGTTGTAAATAATAAATTTTAGAAATAAATTAGACATATATATGGTATAAAACAACTAAAAAACGATGACTTTTAAATGTCACTTTTTCCGGGAAATTGTTCTCTCCTATAGGTCAATTCTTTTGAAATTGTGAATACATCCTTTTGTATTAAAATTTTGGAGCTCGACAACCTTTCAAGACTAAACAACTTCTAGGTCACTGCACGTCGCAACATAGTGATACGGAGGGCCGTTAGCGTAATATTTTATTCTATTTGATCGCCTCAAATGTAATACAAGAAATAAACAACAATGTTAACAAGTTCACTGGAAAATGAACATGGTTGGTACGTGATCAAATCTACTGAGAAACCCTTCGGGCTTCACAAGATTTGATCACGAGACCAACCAAGTTCATTTCCAAGTGAACTATTAAACATTTTTGTTTATTTCTTAAAAATACAATATGTATAAAAGGTATATACAAGCTCGAAAAGTTACCTAAGTGTCCCAATTCGATTTGTACACCTTTATAAAATTTAATCGGAAATAATGTTAAGTCGCCTTGGCCTAATGGATAGGGCTACAGTCTATCAAGCCGTAGGAACTGGAATCGACCCCAGGATGTGTCAAGAATTTGTTTTCTTAGATTCACTTTTGTTCTATTTTTTTATTTGAAAATAGAAAAATTTGACAGCATTATAAAAGGATAAGATAAAATGAAATTGCTTAGTTAAAAAATAATCAGATTATATAATAAACAGATTAAACTGAAAGATAACTGAAAGGCCACAGAAAAGTACCTGCCATTCAGTGAATGATAACTAAAATATCACGGAGAATTCACTGAAAGACTCCTTTCTGTGACTTTTCAGTGACCTTTCAGTGGGCATTCAGCTACCATTCCGTCGACTAAATGGTGTAATTTCATCCTTTGCATGAAAGGCCAATGACCTGGGTGTACTATTTAAAACTATGTTCGAAGGTAAAACGCAATTGTCTTAAGTTCTGTGATGGAGTGTAGATATTTTTAAAATTAATTTGGTAAAAAGTTATCAAAATTGATTTGATTATTTAAAACAAAATGTTATTTTTACTTTAGTTATTTTTTTTTTGATATATCACCCAACATATTGCAGAGTGTCATGCCACAGTAAGATGAGAATCTTGATGATGATGAGAAATGATTGCAATACAGTTGTTATAGAGTAGGAATTTCCCTTAGGATTGCCCCATCTCCCCGGAAATTCTACTCTAGAGTAGGATTTTACCGGGGGAGAATCCTGCAAACTTTCCACGGAGGGAAATTCTACTCTAGGGCCAGTTTAGCTCATCTGAGCCGAAGGCTCAAATGATCGTTTCTGATCGAATAGTGTCCGGCGTCCGTCTGTCTGTCTGTCGTATGTTGTCTGTAAACTTTCCACATTTCCGACTTCTTTCTATGGAACGTCTGGGCCAATTTCAACCAAACTTGCCACAAAGCATCCTTGGGTAAAGGGAATTTGAGTTTGTTCACAGGAAGGGCCATGCTTTCTTCCAAGGCGAAATAATTAATAGTTCCTGAAAATTGAATTTGGTGGCATCTTTTTAAAAAAATCTTCTCAAGGTCCACCGGACTAAATTTAGAAAAGATGAAAATTATGTGAAAGCTTCATTACAAACTGTAGATTCAATTTTGTTCAAATCATAGCCCCGGGGGTAGGGCGGTGCTACAACAGGGGATAAAAGTTATGCGTTGCAATATGTAGAGAGAGTGTTCTTCTCAAGAACAGCAAAGCCGTGATTAGTCATTTTGATACAGAAGTATCCTCAGGTAGTGAAGATTCAAGTTTGTTCAAATTCTGACCCCCCTTAAGTATGGTGGAGCCATAATATCTTATCAAAGGTTTACAAAAGAATATATAGGAAAAAGAATCCGCTGACGAAGAGCAGAAGGACCAGGAGTACTCAGGTGAGGGTTGTGATCCTTGGGCCTCTTATTCCCTTTTATTCGCAATCAGTGTGGAATTTCCCTCTTCTTAACGAAAGAATATAATTTCATTAAATTGGTAGTAATCAAGTTAATTAAAATGTTAGAATCATTTTATACTTTGTGTGAAAAATCATTAAGAGCAAAAATTACAAAATATTACTTCGATTCAATGAAGAAATTACAGTATTTTACTATTGAAAAAATGATGTAATGAAATATATAATTATAAATAGATAAAGAAAGAAAAGATAGATAGATAGATAGATAGATAGATAGATAGATAGATAGATAGATAGATAGATAGATAGATTATACTTATTCTTATATACGCTGCTCCATGAACATCAATAAGAATGTCTACAAATGTAAGCTTAATTGTTTTTAAATATTGATCACAATATAGTCAAACCTCATTGTCTCGAACTCGTTTGATTTATGAAAAATGTTTGATTGTCCCCCATTCCCAACTGAAATTGGGGGAGTTGACTACCTTAGTTTTTGGAATTTGTATTCAATCCCTTTGACAAATTGTCAATAAAATAACTGAAATTGCTTCGAATAGGCCTGTGAATTATGTCCATGAAAAAGTTATATTTAACATTTTTGTATGGTAATACAAATATATATTTGCAGAGGGCTGTCGATTCCATCAACTATTTTTGGAGAAAGCAATGAAAAAATATGGTTGACTGGCATGAACTGTAACGGAAATGAAAATTCCCTGTCTGAATGTTCCCAGTCAGTAATTGGACAAAACAGCTGTAGCTCTGGCGGGAACGTGGGAGTCGCATGTTTCCATACACTAAATGGTATGAAAAGAAAGAGAGAGAGAGAGAGCAAAATAAAGCAAGGTTTTTAAATTTTAAATTTTGCTTTCAGACATGGTAAAACTTGAAAACAAAATTGCAACTTCTGCACAAAATGTCCATATAGTTAAACCAAGTATACGTTTAAATTCCAATTTGGTGGGCTTTTGTACCGACGGGTTGGATGATACAGCAGCGAAAACTATGTGCAAAAGTTTTGGATACAGTGGGTAGGTAATCTAATTTCTCAAATTAATATGCATTGAAAATCTTAATTCCTTGTAAGATTTCTGCAGTAGACCTAAACCTGAGTTGAAAATATTTGTTCTTATTTATCAAATGATCGATATAAGACAAATAGCATTTTTATCAGAAGAAAGGTTGATACAGAGATAGGATGCAACAGAAAAACAGAGTTTTAATAAAGAACGTTTTTTTAATATTATATGCTGAGCATATATATCATAATACTTCGTTATTTCAATAGAGATTTTTGTTAACTCATTATTCATTATAAATCCGTTTCATTGAGAAATAAATGCTTATTTTTATGGTTTATCAGCGTTCAGTGCTTAAACATTGGATCAAATTTTATTCGCATAAACAGCGAAGCCGCTTATTATGAATTACCCTTTGTATAACAATTTGTTCTCATGCCAGTATTAACCTTGCAGTAATAGTCAAAGAGATTACACATGATGTCACATAGCGTGTTTGAGATCATTCCTACCCGGTTACTACATGATTATATAACATTATTCATACATTCAGACCACAGAGTCTGACACATCTGTTTCATATTTGGATATTTTAGTAGAAAAAAGAAGTTAATGGTAACCTAACAACAAAACTTTATGATAAACGTGATGACTTCAACTTTTCTATCTTCTTTTACTTATGTACCCTTATCACCTGCATATGGGGTTTATGTCTCCCAGTTGATTCCATACGCAAGAGCATGCTCTACGTACGATCAATTTTAAAACTAGGCAAGCTATTAACTGACAAATTGATGAAACAACGATATCAACAGTCTCGTTTGACGTCATCTTTTCGCAAGTTCTATGGTCGACACAATGACCTTATCAGCATATATATCTATCTTTAGGTCAAATACTGACTGACGTTTTTCATACTAATTGTTAGGCCATTATTTACACACTGAAATTTCTACGGATTTTTCGGTTTACCGGATCATTACAAGGAACACAAGGCGAGTGTGACCGGTCGACAGGGGATGCTTACTCCTCCATGGCACCTGATCCCACCTTGATGTTTTTGGAGGTCCATGTTTGCTCTGCTCCCAATTTGTATTGTTTAAATGAACTATGGGCTTGAATACTGTTCGTTATATCCATATTCCATCTTAAGAAATTTTACTCTATCAAGACATCAGTAGATAATAATTTAATTGTCTTACGTTTCTATTGTATGTTGAACGTGATCTTATCTAGATGCTTTAAAAAATTTAATATACATTTTGCGGTAGGTTAAATAAAATAATCTTTTCGTAAATTTTCATATATATTTTAGTTATGCTAGTTTAGCACTTACTGATCAGCCAAGAGGTTCATCAAGACTCTTGATTAAGGTTGAATGTACTGGAAGAGAAGAATCGTTAAACGAATGTGCTTTTGGTCTGGGGAATTGTAATGGAACTAGTCCTTTAGTATTGGAATGCTCTGCTGACGTTAGACGTATGTGTTTTTTAACATTTTATATTCAACTTTTAGGTTAATTTTAGAGACTTCACAATTCACTTTATAATTCAAAGGCAAATAAAGTCTGGTAATATGTAATTATTTTCCTTTATCTCGCTTTGTGGTCGGAAGGGGGGGGGGGGTCGATTCTCATTTGCCACACAGCGTCAAAACATAAGACGTAAAAAAAGGTAGTGACTGTTTCTTCGCCAAGCGGACGACACTAGAAGTGAAGGTCACAGGTCTTTTGGATAAGACCTTAAAAATCGATGACCGTCTGATGGTTGGCGTTAACACGAAAAAGAACTGAAAAAAAATACATAAACTGGCCACCTTCGCACTTGTGTAGTTTTTCTGCATATTGAAACCATTAAAAGCTTTACTTACATGTAAAGTAAGCGTTTCATTGTTTGAATTAATTTGTATATTCACATGAATATCCAGCAAATTAAACTGATGTTTTGACAGAGAGAAGTTGATTTTTCTAATATATCATATACTATTATATACGGATAGTTTTATTCGCTACTGAGCTAAAACTAAAAGTGTCAATTTTATCAATTGTTTACCAGATCCTAAGCAAAATCTAACAATAAAATGTGATACGCGGAATCTAAGAAAGATGCATTTATATTTGTATGATCGAGATTCAGGTCAAAAAATAAAATTGTTCATTAGAGAAAGGACATTTTTAATTTTTATTTTAGGACAACATATCACTTAACGTATATTTAAGGAAACTGTCTTTGATAATGATTTGTGATTTAAGTTGATTTAGATAGATAATTTGTCATTCGTAAATGCAAACAGTTTTGATAGAAATGTTTGTATTTTTAAAACATGATGGAGGTGTTTGCATTCTTTCAATAATTAGAACTGTTTCAGGAATTTATAAGAAACCAGTTTGTGAAATGTTCCTTTCAATATTCAGAATGTTTTCATGACTATACTTGCATTTTTAAAGGATTTTCATATCACTGATACCCTCCACTTTCATTTAAAGGCTTCATTAGACTTGTCGATGGTTCTTCGAGCAATGAGGGGCGTGTTGAAGTATTCATTAATGGGGAATGGGGTACAGTTTGTGATGATATGTGGTGGGTTACACATGCAACCGTTGTGTGCAAAAGTCTTGGATATTCAGGGTAAATATGTACTTTATTCATGTATTCTTGAACGTATGATATATTTTAAAAAATTAACATTAGCATCGCTTTCATTGCATTTTGTTTAAATATTAAATAGAAACTCAACCGCTTATAGAAAAGCTTATTTCGGAGCTGGGACAGGACGAATTTGGTTAGACAATGTTAACTGTGATGGCTCAGAGGCATCCATCTTTGACTGCAGACACAGAGGCTACGGAAAAGAAGATTGTACACACTATGAAGATGCCGGTGTAACATGTTCATGATTCTGTAATAGAACCCTGTGGCTCATTATACCCTCTTCTGATAGACTATTACCCTTCATTCATTTCTTATAATTTGTATACAACTGACTTGTCCTAAGATACGTATACATATGTACAGCTGTTTAATCAATTTTTATGGAGTACATTTTACAGACCTTTTTTCTTTGTCTTTTTTAAAAACCAAATATGAAGCAAAATCGTTTGTAGGGATTTCAAAATTTGGAAGAAGGGATTAAAATATTTTAGAACTTTTTTCTCTTAGGATTATTATGATGGTTCACTTGTTTTTTATGTTGTATTGAAAACAGGATCAATTTAAACAAGCATGCGCATTCTTGAATTTTCATGTGATTCCCTGCTTTCGGGGCCTTTTGGTTGAAGTGCAATGATATATGGCATATTTTGACTTTGTCTATACTATCTTGTCTGTTCATCATGTTAAAACTATTTCCTATTTTGGGATGGTCTGGTGCAAAAAATATGGCCAAGCTTAGAGTTTTTGAAAACCAAACTTCAAGGCCATTGAAAGGACGTCAAAAATCATACTTCATTTGGAAAGGTCTTGTCACGGATAATTTGGGATGAGTATATATTTGATCGAAGTCATTATAGTCACCCAGATGGGTTTGGAAAAGCCCCCTCCCCCCCCCCCCCCCCATTATATTCTAATATGTTTTTTCTCCGAAAAATGTCGTTTTGGCATCTAAAATTTTCAATTTCATCAAAATTGCCATAAAAAAATCTTTCTTTAAGAGAACTTTTAATATAGCATTCAGACCGGTAATGAATTATTATCATTGAAATACTAAGACAAGATACCATAGGCCACATGCTCACCTGTGCATTTTTTCTCACGTGTACAAATTTTATGTAGTTTATAGAATAACTATTGTGGGTTCTTCATTACCCAGGTAGAAGGGAAGATACATTTAGAGACAAATACTTATGTGCGGGTATTACTGTCTGATTACGGTATCTAGTTGGTGGGTTTTTTTTTTTTTTTCAGTCAAACGTTGACTTAATTTGAACATTTGGCGTTTGTAAAATATTCAAACGATTTCGTCTAGTAAAATGTTTAACCTAAACTTTAATTTTCTTTAAAGATTTAAAAATAGCCTTACAATATTCAGGCCCGTTTACAGGAACTTTTCTGAAGAAATGTTTGTCCTAGATTCCCTTTACCAACTTATAATCAATAGCCAGATTTAGTGTTTAAATTACCTCTGTAACTGCGAATTAATCACAGAATCGTGGTTCAGACTGTTGATATACCTTGCATCATGAAGGAAAGAAATTCTCTCCTACAGTTGCTGATTGGGTTGTGGATCTTTTATCACTTTGGTAAGTATTTTACACATGTGCATTCTGGTTACTATCCAAGGCAGAGAAAGAAACATTTTTGCAAAAAATAAACTATATTTCACCATTATTGTATATTTGTTAGGGTATACTCATCATTATTTTGTTTTGATAAATAATTATGTACAGAATTATGTATTTTTATTTCATTAGAGAGGGAACATTATCCTATAAATTGAAGATTTCTCATAGTGTGTTTTAAAATAGGGTTTTAAAAATGGTTGGTGGTAAAGAGTAAATTTAATCAATTAGTTACAAAATGCAGTTTTTTTTAATTTATTAACTTACGGAGTTTTGTTTCCAAGCTCTTTAACAGTACGCGTACGTCATGATCAAAACGTTTTTCGCATTGCGACAATCAGACCGCACAAATAATACTCTCTATCTCATGATTATTCGTAAAATTAAATAAAATCTGGTTGATGCTAAATTATTTACAAAGACAATAAAAACAGGCGTTCCTCACGATAATTTAAGGACCAGCTTTTTTACATCATAGAAAATGGCTTCTTTAATAGGAACAGGCACATTTTCATAACTTGTCATTGGTCATCTACAAATTTCGTTAAAAGCAACTCTGATTGTTTACACAAGTACTATGTATCGGACCTTTAAAATTGCTTCAATTTGTCATTGACATTATCTGTGAAGTGTGTGGAGAACAAATTTCCCGACAATCTGTTGGAATACCCATGGGTACTAATTGTGCCCATCATTAGCAGACCCGTTTTTTTGTACTCTTGTAAACCAGAATTTATTCAGAAACTCCTTCATGAAAAGAAGAAGTACCTTGCTCTGGCCTTCCATACGACAATTACGAGGGTGATCAAAAAGTTAGGGAACTAATTAAATAACTACCACAAAAGAAATCAAATGAAATATGCGGAGATAAGGAACAGTATTCAAGCTCAAAAGTCCATTAAACATTACAAAATATGAGCAGAGCAAACACGGACCTCTAAACATCAGAGGTGGGATCAGGTGCCATGGAGGAGTGAGCATCCCCTGCCGACCGGTCATACCTGCCACGTGCTCCTTGTCATGATCGGAAAATAACGGAAAAATCCGTCGACAATTCAGTGTGTAAATAATGGTCTAACAATTAGTATGAAAAACGTCAGTCAGCATTTGACTTGATGGTAGATTGTATTTGCTGACAAGGTCATTGTATCGACCATAGAACTTACAAAATGATGACTTTAAACGAGACTTTTGATATTCTTGTTTCATCAACTTGTTTGTCAATAACTTACCTCGTTTTAGAAATTGTTCATCCCTAGATCATGCTCTAGCGTATCGAATTAACGAAGAGATATAGACCCCGTATGCAGGTGATGAAGGTATATTGCTGCATAAGTAAGGGAAGTTGACGATTAAAAAGTTAAAATCATCACGTTTATCATAAAGCTTGGTTGTTAGATTATCATCAACGTCCTTTTCTAGTAAAATATCCAAATATGAAACAGATGTGTCAGACTCTGTGGTATCTTTTATTTCAAGCTCACCGGGATATATCGTATCGACATAAGAAGGGAAATAACCATTGTTGATTGACAATGCGTCGTCGATATATCTAAATGTCGAGTTGAAGGCCACAGCAAGTGTTTTCTTCTTTTCACGTATAAGATTTTGAACAAATTCTGCTTCATATGAATACAAAAAGGGTCTGCTAATAACGAGGCGCAATTGGTACCCATGGGAATTTTAATAGATTGTTGGAAGACCTTGTCTCCAAAAACCACATAGATATTGTCAATCAGAAACTCAAGCATCTTTTAATATCAATTTCAGAGTACGTGTGTGTACAAACTGGTTTTCAGTGTTTACTCTTTTTTAAAGCAGGCCTCTTCGGTTTTAATACAAATATGCCCCTATTCTGCCTATGCTCAAAACATGTGATCCAGACAGTTACGTGACATGCTCCCTAGTGTACTGTTCACAGTAGTCCAAAAAAATGTCCCCGGTCTTATATTTCCTACCTCGCAGGTTATTTTTTTATAACAAGAATAGCCCATATGTCCCAAATTGCCAAATCTTGGTCATAGAATGAGTGGATTAGGATTTCTTTTCCCAATATGAGCATTGTGTCCATCACAATCAATCTTTGATGAGTCGTGTATCCAAAGTGGATCAAATATGAGTGCTTTCCTTTTATCATATCTGATCTGTAAACAGTCTAAAGAAGCTGAAATTTTAGGGAATTAAGAATTATTTTATTGTTAAGATAATCAACTTTTTCTGTAAATGGTTCGGCGAACTTTTATTACAAATTGCTGAATTAAGGATTCAATTCTTTCCTAGTTCACTTTCACTGGGCATCCAGAACGGACATTATTATTAATCAACTCCCTTCCTTTACGTAAATAATCAATCCAACCACTGATTACACCTTTTGCAAGTCCTTTGTCGCCATAAGCCTTGTACAAATCATTATATATTACTGGCAAAGGATTTTCCAAGATGTACGTGAAACTTTACAGCCGTTCCTTACTCGAGTACAACTAAGTCAACCATATTTTTTTTTGCACGTCATCTACATATTGACCTTATTTTCACATCGTGACATCATAATCAAGGAGCAAAATATTACGTAACACGTTTTTATTTATAGAACACATTAATAACTAAATACTTCATTCTATGTTGACTATACATACCCTATTGAAATGGAAATAAAACACACCACGGAGTATGACACATCTTCATATTTGATATTTTACTAGAGAAAGACATTGATGGCAAACTAACAACTAGACATTATGATAAACGTGATGACTTCAACTTTTCTATCTTCAACGTCCCTTATTTTTTTGTAGCAATATACTACTATCACCTGCTTATGGGGTTTATTTTCGCAGTTGATTCGATATGCAAGAGCATGTTCTTCACACGCGTACGAGCAATTTCTAAAGTGAGATAAACTATTGACAAATAAATTGCTAATACAAGGGAATCTACATTCTCGTTTAAAGTCAACATTTCGCAAATTCTATGGTCGATATACAAATGACCTTGTTTGCAAATACAATTTCTTGTTAGGTCGAATGCTGTCTGATGACTTTCATACATTTTTAGATCAATATTCATACTGAATTGATTATGGATTTTTCTGTTTACTTTTATTTTTTTAGATTCAAAACGAAATAAGTACGTCATAAAATGGTTGAAGGTTTACAAATAATGATCATCATTGCGAGTTTGCTTCTTCTTCTTTTTTTTTTTTTACAAATTAGATATTGTGCAGTAATTTACAATGAAGATAAAAATATGACAACCTATTTTGGTATGATTTTCATGCTTAACATTACCAATGAATTGTGATTTAATGCCTGAATAACATTATGCATTTCACTCAACTTTTTTTCACCATAGATTTTGAATGCACAGTTTTGTATATTATTTAAATGATCCTTAAAATATTTCTCATTTTATAAGATGAAAACATGGTTTAAGGTGAAAATTCAAATAATTTTAAAAGAACGATCTTTTACTTTATTTGCCCTATGCACACAGCTTTTAATTATTATAAAGAAAAATTGTTACAAATGAATTTTAAAAACTGGAAATACGTAATTCGCATTTTCTTCAATTCTATTCAAATAAATGATTCTCTTTTGCATCTTTTGCGCCAATAAAACGTT